CGTCATGGGTGGCAAAGTCGGTGCCGGAGCACGGCAGCGGCGGCGTGCCAGAACCACAAATTTAGCTAGAAAGAGTTTTGGACATGATTTTTATTTTTGTGTATTTTTGGTACGTGACGAGTGTTTTGATTTACAGGAAAAATTCAAAAAACTTGGGACTCGTTAGGAGGCGTAGGAGACAGTGCAACATCTCGAAAGGGTGAAGATCCCTTACTCTATTCTCCATTACAATAAAATGAGGGTTAATGATGTATAATTTTATATTTTTATGAAAATTTAGAAAACTTTAAAAATAATTACAGGTCACTAGTGGAGGCGAAACCAGTTAGTTCACAATTGTCCTAATTTCTTGTTTACTTTTCTGTACTGTCCTACTTGTTTATTATCATATTGTGCATGTTCTTAATTTATAGTTTCTATGGTCTTATCGATTTATCTGGTTACTCGATCCCCTATTATGATAAACTATATCGTCTGCATAAATGTAATCTAATTGATATGTAAATATAATATGATATATTAGTCTGCGTTTGTTGGTTGTTTTATTGATGAGAATCTTTATGTGAAAGACTTACTAGGTACCCAAGGAAAGGGCAGACGAGCCCGGTACATAAGAAACCCTATCGTGAACGTTACCCAGTCGAACGGGGGGGTAAAAAGTCTCTTACCGAAAAGGTTCGAAAGATATAGTTCACCCTCATACCAAACGGGGTATTGAGAAGATTGAATGCTTGACGCCCATTACCGAGCGGGATATAGGACGACTTATTAATTGTTAAAATTGGATATTGAGTTTACGAGTAGGGGAACATCCTTATGGACTCCCAGGGGTACTAGTAAGCAAGTAAGAGAGGAAAATTGTCGTCTCTTATTCTCTTGTGCGTGAAAATAAAAAATGGTAAGGATATGGGTCTTCATAGGTTTTTTTTTTAAAAACTCATAACGGTAAGTATCAAACAAATGTTTTTAAGTTAAATATATTTAATTAAACTAAGGGCTCCATTAGTTTTTTTTTTTTATTTTTACCAATCTTCAGTTTTTCGTATTAGTGAGTAGTGTGATATTTTTATTGGGTTAGTGTAACTCATCCCTGCATTAACCATTTAAGATCAAGAGGACCAGGATCCCTGATCAACAAGGAAACTGTGAGTAGTTTACCTCCTGGACCCCTTCAAGAGCTAGTGGAGGTTAACCCTAGGATATTTATCTATTTCTTTCATATCATCTATTTGTTTCTTTTTTATGATCTACTGTAGTAGAGACATTCTCGTAACCTTATTGGACATTCTAATTTATTGTGTAATGAATAGAAACCTAACATATTATTCGTTTCCGTAGTTAAATTATAAATTCATTTTATTTAAGTTTCAGACTTTTACACTTATCTTCCATAACATCCATCGTGGGGCTTTGAGCCTGCAATAACAATCCGAAAAGCTTGAGATATTCAATATCTTACTATTAACTTAAAATGGTGGAACATAACAAAAGTGCCAAGGCTTGGATTTTGGTTTTTATATAGTAATGCAGTAAATTAGTATTTAAGCTAAGAATTTGTGCTAGAGCTAAATGTTTGTACTAATCTAGATATTTGTGTGAATTTACATAAGGATTTTCACTTAGAGAAGTTATATGTTTGTGTCGAGAAATTGATGGTTTTTGTTGAGAAGGTGTGGGATGAGAGATATGAAAGCTTAGGAATTTTTCAAAATGGTTACAAGAAATGAGGGAACTTAAGTTGACAAATGTAGTTATTAGGGATGAAGAAAAGAGAATGGTATGTACTCGTAAAAAAAAAGGAAGAAAAAATAAGGAAAAGTGATTGGTAGCATGACAAACACTTGTCTGTCACACTAGTAACCTTTTTAAGCTGGATGTTCATGTGGTGATGTCATCTTTCATGTCGAGATCCACCTAACAGTGTTAGATGGATCATTAGTGGTAAATGCTTATTCAAAAACATAAACTTGAAAGTACAAATTTTGTTTTAATATAAAAATACTACAATGCACAATTTGAACATTCTCAAATAATACAAGAATATTCAGAGTGTGTATTATTTTTTAATAACATTTTAAAAATATTTCTCACAATAAACATTCAAGGTATGTTATAACTTTTTAAATTTTATAATTTATGATTATCCATACCTCTTGATCTTTATAGAATTTATACTTGATTAATATTTTTGTATCAACTAATAAATACATGTTGTAAAAAATTCTACCTAGTGTAGTGAATTTTAAAAAAACTTATTTATTTTCTTGTATTCTCTTATTTATTTATTTTTTTTATCATATTTGGTTAAATTATAATACATATAATTTATTATGCTTAGATTGTGATCAATTACTTAAATTTTCTAGTAGTATTAAATATAAATCTCAAAATTAAAAATTATGAAGAATCTTAAATAATTAACGTACTCTTCATAAAAATAAAATAAAAATAAAAATTTCGCGCATGCTTTTATTTCAACGAAAATGGGGTGTCGCGTTAACCAGTCGCAAATCTAGAAGTGGTGCTGGGGTCATGTACTAAACACCGCTCTCTTCTCTCTGAAGAAAGAAAGAAGGAAGAAGAGAATCAAAGCAAACACAAGAGATTCACATTTGTAATCGTTTGACTCCTGCTGGAATCTGGATCATTAGATCCGATCCCCGCCGGCAACCGCCATGCCGTCCTTTACCGTTCGATTTAGCCTTTCTCTCTTCGCCTTCCTCTTCCTCTTCCTCTCTTCTGTTATCGCCTCTGAGTATGATCACAAGGTATCTCTATTTTCCTCTTTGTTAGTGACTTCACCTGCTTGTTGAGCCGTGACTAGCTTTTTGATACCTAGATCTTGTTATTTTCGTTATATTTATGCTTTAAGTTGACTCGGATCTGTTCATTTTGGGGTTGCTGTTCTTTGGTGTTTCATTCTTGGGTTGTTGTTAGAGTGCTTGTTCGTAAATAAGGCCTCTATTATTCATAGAGCTTATGGTTTATCAGAGTTTTTAGACTTTCTCACTAGCGAAGTACATATCTCTGTATGTGTTTGTGCGTAAATTACTTTAACTAAATGGCTTATGTTACAAGTGGATTTTAGGTATTTACTTATTCCTTCGTTATTTACTGAGATATGTATGCGATATACGTATAGAAATTCCTTCTATAATGTGATGGAGTTCCCGTCTGATATTGTGTACATGCCACAATAGTGACGGCAAATGGGACTACGGTGGTCGTGATTTCTCTGTGGTTCGGCCTTGGTTGCCCATTCCACAATCAACTTTTCTATGGATATCTCGGCATTTTGTTTATATCTCTAGGTTTCTCAATCTCAGCAATCTTTTTCCTAAGTTCTGACATGGTTTCTTCTATACTCTTTTTAGAAAGTATTTCCAATCAAAACGTTCAAGCACATATTAGAATTGAGATGAAGGCCATCTGACAAAATGGAAATGTGTTTGTAGATTGGTCCAATGAGATAGCACAACTTTATTTTATTTTACCTTACTAATGTAGTATCCTTGCATTAACGAAGGAGGGCTAAATTTTCCTTGTAAGGCAGGACAAGATTCTGGTGGATGTTGTTACCTGTTCAAGAGGGTGGCTGAGACTATGGTTAATATACTTTCTGGTGTCCTTTCTCCTATTGCCTCTGGTGCATGGCTTTTGACTTTGTTAACTTGAGGTGGGTGGATCAGTTGCAGCAAAGCTTTGGGCTTGGAATGGAATCTGGGGTTTAAGAGAAGGAAAAAATTTACCTCTCTTATGCCCTTGATTATCTTGTTTGTAAATTTGGAAGGAAAGTAATAGAAGTGGGTGAACCTGCTTCAGGTGCAGTGGAGCTTTCGGCTTGGTGGAGTATCTGGGGTGATAAAAGCAGAATATTCTCTCTTGTCCCCTTGGCTACTTTGTGGGTTATTCTGAAAGGAAGGAACATAAAATCTTTTAGGCGTCCTTTTTATTCTTTAGGTGGAGTTAGAGACTTAATGGTTGCAAACACTTTTTGTTTGTTGCAAACTCTTGCTTGGGAAGAAATTTAAGCTAGTGATACCAAATATTATGTCCTTCCCGTAAAGGTAAGCGATTCATAATTCTTATTGAGAAATCTGCATCATAGTTGCCCCCCCCCAGAATGCAGCAAATTTGAGTTGCTTGCCATGAGCAGTGGGAAACTGCCACCCGGTTGAAGGTCTTTCTGTTTGTTCTTTATGCTAATAGGCAGTATATTTTACAATTTATATCTATGTCCAGAGTAATCACTTACTATGATGTAAAGGCGATATCTTTTGACTGGATTCAGATGTGGGATGCATGAGCTAACTAGTAAGATCTGTCTGAAGAATGTCAAGTCCCTCAGTCATGAAAACATGTAAAGAAAAGGACAAAACGAGTGTATTTTTAGTTTTGCAAATTTGTGTTTAAATGGAATCTTCTTTTGGTCCACCCAATTGCATTTTATATTTATATTTCTTTGTTTTGTTAAATTGGATTTCAAATATTAGCCTGCAGTTGCAGCAAGTTCTGGTGTTCAGAAGTAAATGACATGCCTTATAATGTTACGAAATCATTTCTAAAAGGAATTGGGTAGTTTTGGGTGTTATTATTGGAGCATATTGCAGAATTTCAAGGATCACTTTACGCCTCAATTTCTGTGGACAGACTGGATACTTTACGCCTCAATTTCTGTGGAGAGACTGGATCTTTTGGCATTGCTTTGGGCTAAGGCCGTACACACAATGAGTCTCTTTTGGTTAAATCTTTCTACAAAAAGTTGTACAAGTATAATGATGCTGGTATACACTTTCCTGTCAGGCAGATTTGGAAGATCAAAATTCCTCCCGGATCTCTTTTTTCGCTTGGGAGGCTAGTCAAGAACGTTTCTTGACCATAGACAACTTGAAGAAGAGGAGAAAGATTTTGGTTAACAAGTTTTCTCTTCAAGAAAGATGAGGAGACTTGTAAACATGTGTTACTATGCTGTTTGGTACAAGCTATGGACTATGGTTGATGGGCTGTTGGGTGTACATAGGTGATGGCAGGTTCGGTGAGGGAGGAAATTTGGGCGTGGAAGCGCATTAGAGGCTGAAAACAGATGGACTTTATCCCGCTTACTATCTTTTGGGTCGTGTGAAAAGAGATGAATAAGAGGGCTTTTGAGGGGGTCCATGACATTAATGGTTTTGATATTTTAAAGAATAAGTGGTTCCAAACCCTTGGTTTTTTGTTACAGAGTCCTCCTTTGGGTATTATGGAGGATTTTGCGGAACTTGTTGAATATTAATAGATTTGTAAATGTTGTAAATGGGTGACACCCTCTTGGTACTTATATTAATACATATTCATGTTTTATCTCAAAAGAAAAGGCTCACAATTCTTTCATAGATGTTTTACTATCCATCCTTCAAAGGAGTCAGGAGGCAATTTGGATTGATTTTCTTGTTTCTTTTTGTTTTCTTTTCCTCTGTTTTTATGGAGGTTTTCTGAGGATGTCTTATCCTCCTCTTTATATTTCTTACTTATCTGTTGTTTAATAATATTTATTTCTTAAAGAAAAATAGTTCTTAAAAGTGTTTCTGCTGTCATCTTGTATTTCCTATCACAAGAATAATAAATGCCGTTAGTGGACGATGATTGAAATTTTTACTTGCAAACAAGAGTTTTTAAATTGTACCCTTTCCTTTTAGTTTTTCTGGTTGTTTCCTGTTCATTAAAGGGATAATAAATAATCCCCGTCTGATTTCTACACATATTTTTGTTTTTGTTGTCTATATTGGTGATAATGAATTAGCTTCATTAAAAATTATAGCTCCAACATTATACTGTTCCCATGTATTGCGCTATATTTTATGTTGTTTTGGCATCTGAATTGCCAATTTGCTGATACATTCTTTGTTTTTGCCCAGTATCAACCTGATGAGCCAGTTACTCTTTGGGTTAATAAAGTTGGTCCATACAATAATCCACAAGAAACATACAACTATTATATTCTCCCATTTTGTCACCCATCTGGCAATCCTGCTCACAAATGGGGTGGACTTGGTGAAGTCTTGGGTGGAAATGAACTTATCGACAGTCAGATAGATATTAAGTTCTCAAGTATGTGAACTTCATCATATTTGCTAATGTGGTTTAGATAATAATTAGAAGTTAACTGCATTTGGTGACTGTTTTCTGTTCTTTTTCTCAGAGACTGTTGATAAAGGTATCATCTGTCAACTGGAACTTGATGAAGCAAAGGTCAAGCAGTTCAAAGATGCAATTGAGAACAGCTACTGGTTTGAGTTTTTCATGGGTATGTTTAATTGAATCTTTTTCCGTCCATATTTGGGAGTGAAAATATCTATTGGAGCTTTAATGTTCTTAGAAATATAGTACACATATGATTAATTAATTTTTTGGATTAAGACTATTTTTTCCTGAGGTTATAATGGTTTTGGAAGTATAATACACAATAGGACTGATTCATTTTTTTGGATTAAGGCTATCTTTTTGAGTAAGTACACGTATGGACTGATGGGCCAACAATTAGATGATTTTAGTAAAATATCAACATTTATGTGATTAACATATGTAATCAATGATAGAACTATTAAGAGTTGTTTAGGTGTCTTTTGCTTGATTTTGTAAGCTTTATTAGGAGGTGGAAGGTTTAAGTTTGCCATGGTGCTTACATTTTTTCTTCTTGGATTTTTCATGTACCCTGCTCTTTGATTTTCTTACTGCAAGTTCAGATGATCTTCCTCTATGGGGTATGTATTCCTGTTCATTTTTTTGAAAAAGAAAATCTAATTCCGGATCCTGGTTGAATGTACTTTCTCATTTTTTTGTGTTGCTGTAGGCTTTGTTGGTGAACTGCGTCCTGATAAGAACAGCAATAATGGCAAGCATGTTCTTTATACACATAAGGATATTGTTGTTAAGTACAATAAAGATCAGGTTTGTGGCTATTCATATCTCTTGACTTCTATTATTGACTTGAGAATCTGTTGTTGGTACTATACCAGATTCATCTTCATGCAGATTATTCATGTAAATCTTACTCAAGAGAGCCCGAGACCACTGGAAGCAGGGAGAACATTGGACTTGACCTATTCTATCAAATGGATATCAACTAATGTAACATTTGCACGTCGCTTTGATGTTTATTTGGATTATCCTTTCTTTGAACATCAGGTAAATGTTTACCATTACTTTTTTGTCCCTTTGCATTTTCTTCAAAATTTCTAATAGTTATCACTATTTTTCGATCTGCAGATCCATTGGTTCTCTATTTTTAATTCGTTCATGATGGTTATTTTCCTTACTGGTTTGGTGTCAATGATACTGATGCGAACGCTTAGAAATGACTATGCGAAATATGCTCGGGAAGATGATGATCTGGAGACCTTGGTGATGACTCGTTAACTTTCTGATATTTGATCATTTTTATTTTTGGCTTTACTATTGCCATTTTTGTTCCCTTCTGTTTTATGTTTTATATAATGAGTTACAGTAGATTCTAACAGTTCATATTCTTGTTAATGCAACATCAACTACAGGAGAGAGATGTGAGTGAAGAGTCTGGGTGGAAACTTGTTCATGGTGATGTTTTCCGGCCTCCTCGCAATCTCGTTATCCTTTCAGCTGTCGTTGGCACTGGTGCTCAGCTAGCATTGCTTGTTCTCCTGGTCATTTTATTGGCAATTGTGGGAACACTATACATTGGGTATGTTCCTTGAATCCATTTATGGATATCTATTATGATTCTGTACATCAAAATGTTTGTGCTTGTCATGCCTGAGCTTACTACAATTACCACCGTTTTGAGTGGGTGGATAGGAAAAGCAATTATTGTTTGCGTGGTAAAATCTGTTGTCTGGTTACTTCTCTATATTAACATCAAATCACATTCCTGGTTCAGGAGAGGAGCTATTGTCACAACTTTTATTGTGTGCTATGCTCTAACATCCTTCATTTCTGGTTATGTGAGTGGCGGGATGTACTCACGCAATGGGGGTATGCATTTAACTATTAATTGTCAGATTCATTTCTCTGCTTGGTTGTGTCTAACATTTTCTATTTTCCCCTATTTTACTTTATATTTACAATATTTGGTTTCTTTTTTTGGTTTATTCAGGCAAAAATTGGATAAAATCAATGATCCTTACAGCATCTCTATTCCCATTTATGTGCTTCGGGATTGGCTTTGTCTTGAACACAATTGCTATATTCTATGGATCTCTGGCTGCTATTCCCTTTGGCACAATGGTGGTAGTTTTTGTGATTTGGGCCTTCATTTCTTTCCCTCTGGCTCTTCTTGGTACAGTTGTTGGAAGAAACTGGAGTGGTGCTCCAAACAATCCATGTCGTGTGAAGACTATCCCTCGTCCAATTCCTGAGAAGAAATGGTACCTCACACCATCCGTAGTCTCTTTGATGGGAGGTTTGCTACCCTTTGGAAGTATATTCATTGAGATGTATTTTGTTTTCACGTCCTTCTGGAACTACAAGGTAAATCATTACTCTTTTAGCCATCACAAAAATAAAGGAAAAATGGAAAAAAGGGAAAAGGCTTAGTTCAAATGAATAATGTCGAACATGTGTTGGAAGATAATTATATTCTTATTGCAGTTTTTTTTTATCAATTTCTTAAACTTGATTTTACTTTTGAAATTTCAATTGATGCTGTCTCAAACCTAATGCAAAATTTGTATTTGTGCTCGACAGGTTTACTATGTCTATGGCTTTATGCTGCTGGTTTTTCTTATCCTCATCATTGTAACTGTTTGTGTAACAATTGTGGGGACTTACTTTCTGCTTAATGCGGAGAACTATCACTGGCAGTGGACGTCTTTCTTCTCTGCTGCCTCAACAGCAGTCTATGTGTACCTGTACTCCATATATTACTACTATGTGAAGACTAAAATGTTTGGTTTCTTCCAGACAAGCTTCTACTTTGGATACACGTTGATGTTTTGCCTTGGTTTGGGAATCCTCTGTGGTGAGTTCGACAGTTTTTTAGCAAAGGCACATTACAAAACTTTGGCTAGCTTTTATCATTCCTCATTTCTTACCTTTACAGTGTTATTATTGCTAGCAGATTGATTTTTTTTTACAAGTATTTCCCCGTCTTTGCATATGAAGCTGGTTATTCTTCTGAATACTGTTTTTGAAAGAAAAAATATATCTGTTCACACCAAGGAGGTGCAATCCATATACAAAATTACATATTATAGGGTCTCCAGGATTCTCATAGGAATAGAGGATGACCTTAATAAAAAAAAAGACCTAGGGTTTATTTATTAAAAAAAAAAAAAAAAAAAAACCTAGGATTATTTTTCTGACTATTATTACAGGATATGGTCATACTTTTGTCATTCTGCAAATTTCATGAAATATTTCAATCTTTAGGAAGCTTGATTATTGAAATTCAGGCAGGATTGAAATTGGACTTTTTGACTTCGAACTTGATCTTTATCTTAAAGTTGTCCACAGTATATTCTTGTCCAATCCGTTTAGGGTTCTTCGAGATTTTTCTGAAGCCTATTGATAAATTTTTCTTTCCACTCTTAACATGATTTATTTATCCATAAAAGAAAATATTCTGTGGCGAAGGCATACGGAGTTTCTACCTCTATGAGCTGATTGACTAAATTGTTTTGTGGTTTAATTTCCTAACAACAGTATGAGATGTAAAGTTCCCTTACTTTGGGAGAAAACATTATGTAGTGACTTAGGTCTTTAACCAGCCATTCTTCTCCAGCTGTTTGTCTTGGCCATTAGCTAAGGAGGGTTTTTCCCAGTCACCCGTGAAGTGGTATTATGAGTTACTTTTTTATGAAAAAAATGGTCATATGAGTTACTTGTTGTGGCTAATTAGGTTTCTAAAACAGAGCACTAACGCAAGGACCTAACTTTTTGCTTGAAAGTGCAGGAGCTGTTGGTCATCTTGGCTCTAATTTGTTTGTGAGGAGGATCTACAGAAACATCAAGTGTGACTAGATTATTCGAGAGTGGAACCATAGACCTGGTGATGCTTCCTGAGAATTATGGCTGCTGGGACTGGTAGGTTTTAAGAGGAAGCCAGTAGGAACGAGAAGTGTATGGAAGAGCCAGAGTTCAGCCAATGAAATTGCAGGGTGAGTAGGAAGTATTGTTGTCGACCTGAAATCTGGTTCGGACTAGGGGAAGCCCTGAGCTTTTTTGGTTTTTCCCCCAAGCTGTAAGTGAAAAGCCTTAATTTAGGATTTGGAGATTGTTTAAACTTTTAGCAAAAACAGCTGACAGCTGTCATCTTATATTCTTTTTCCCTTAATCCTTTTATGTAGAGAAGAGTATTTTCTCCTGAAATTGTTTGCTTTTTGTAATCATTTGTGGAGAGAAGAAAGGTCACCAGGGCAAGGGTATTAGGAATTGAGCATACTGGAGTTGGTACCATATTGATTTTGTAATCTTTCCAGGTTTGCACATGTTTATGCAGGGAAAAAACTACATGACGAATTTCAAATTGAATGTCTGTCTTAAATTTTGGTAAGATCTTAATTCCACCACATCATTACCGGATGAGATCTAATTGTTTATGTTTACAATCTCAATTATCAAGCATTGAAATTTTAATGGTAAAGATAGATTGGAAAAATGGAAGGATAATGGAACGCAACCGGAGGTCAGAGAAGTTCACAGAAGACAATTTTCAGATTAAAAATGTGGGAAGTCGCATGTTTTGTAAAATAGAACGCTTTTGTATTAAGATCAGTGGGCTTGTGGTATTTGTAGGCGTTTGCAGAAGGAAAGTTTATGGAGGAAATGGTTCGTAGAGCACACAGAAATGAGTGGTTTGGTTTTTGACAAGTAGGTCATCAAGTGGGTGATTCCATTTCTTGCAGGCATCACATCTGATTGCAACATTTTTTGAACCCTTTGTTTATTTTTCGCTTTTTCTTAAATTATTCTTTTTCGAACACCTAAGTTTCTTATTTATTTTGTTTTTCTTCTCTGTGTAAGTCAGAAGCTGTTGATCCACGCATCACATGGATTGTGGCAACCACATTCATTCATTGAGTGAGAAGATAAAGTAAGCCACAAAAACATGCCATGTGGCAGATAGGATTTCATGCCACTTCATCTCGTGCCACATTTTCCCATTTATGAATACTTGCAACCCTCTCCCATCCACTCTCTAGCACCAACAAGAAGCATTGCAGCCCAAGTTCTGAACACAAAAATGGCCTCCACAGCCCTATCCAGCGCCATGGTCAGCACCTCCTTTTTCCGTCGCCAACCCATGGCGACAAGCCTTAAGTCCCTTCGAAGCATTGGACAGGCTCTTTTCGGTGTCAAATCCGGACGAGGTGGTCGTATAACAGCAATGGCAACTTACAAAGTTAAGCTGATTACACCAGATGGAACAAGCGAATTTGATTGCCCTGATGACCAATACATTCTTGACGTGGCTGAGGAGCAAGGCATTGACCTTCCCTACTCTTGCAGGGCTGGTGCTTGCTCTTCCTGCGCAGGAAAGGTTGTGGAAGGTAATGTTGATCAATCCGACAACCAATTCCTTGATGATGATCAGCTGGGTAGCGGCTATATTCTCACTTGTGTGGCTTATGTTCAGTCTGATGTTGTGATTGAGACACACAAGGAGGAAGAGTTGGTGGGTTGATTTATTCCTTGTGTCTTTCTTTATCATGTGTCTACGCCTGCGGTTTCTTGCTAATTTACCTGTAGTGTACTGAATTATCATTTCAAGGGATACACTTGTTTTTCTCTTATCTTCTGTTTTGTGTGAACAAATTAATAACCATCAACTCTTTAGCTTCCTTTTCTATTCACTCTTCCTAATTTCCTCCATCAATATATGTATATGTATATATGTAATCTCTGTTCACTCCATTACCAGATTCATTCATGCAGGAAATAGTCATTACACTGTAAGCTACCTTTGGAAATAGTTAGATCTGCTTGCCAAAATGATGAATGTAAGAGAGGTTTGTATTCCTCCTTTGGGGATAAGGGGGTAAAAGATTGGTGGCCACAATTCTTTCAAATGTAACCTATTGACAAAAAATTACCAACATATATATATATAGATCTTTTAAAAACATTAAATTAACAATTTGATAAAACATAAAGTTAAAAATATATTAAATAAAAATATTATTTATATTCTATTAGAGAGAATAAAAAAGCTATAATATGATAATCCGAATCAATCTACCACGTTCCATCCTGATTTATTAAAATAAATAAATATAAAAGTTGTCAGATTGAATTAATTCTTAAGTGAATTTAAGTTGAATTGGGTTTGGTTTTAGAAGCAAAAACCATGTTTGCTCCCAACATGGTTATATTAAACTGTTGCCCATATAATATATATATATATATATATATATATATATACACATATTTAACTTGGTGTCTGTACATATTCCAGACCAGGCAAATTAAAGCCCAACGTTTCGCTTTTATAGGACGTCCAAACAGCGTCGTTTTTACTGGGCCTCGTGTTGAACGATGCCGTTTGGGTGTCTTCCATGGTACTGGACCTCCTTAGAATGACGTCGTTTCAATTAAAAGGGGAAGGGCCTCAATATCCCTTGGGCTGAATTTCTTGGACCAGAGAACCAAAATAAACTCTCCTGGGCGGCAAAATAAACTGAATTTCTTCCTTTTTCTTTTTTGTTTCTCTCTCTTTTTTTGAATTCTTATTTTTCTCCTTTTTCTCTGAACATCAAATAATATATAATAAAAATTAATAAAAAAAATAACAACTTACATTGATAACAAAACTAAATTACGAAGATAACAAATTAAAATTTAAGTAAATTCAAATTTGCATTTTTATTTTTATTTTTATATTATAATCAAAATGATTTAAATTTTAGATTAGACAAAATTGAGATATGACAATTTCATCTTCTATTACTCTAGTTTTAGTACAATTATTCTTTTAAAAATACACTTAAAAATGATGTTAATATAAATTAAGTGTTTATTATTTTATCAAAATCTATACATGTATTGTAATAAGTTCACTTTATCGGAATTTTTTTTTTTTTAAAATCATGTTTTAAATTAATGAGATTGATTGACATACCTACTGCTATCTAGTTGATTGAATCTAATGAGTTATATTAACTTAATTAAAAATTTCTTAAGTTGAGAGATAATAGAAGAAACATTTTTAAAAGTTAACTCTTGTCCACACATAGAAATGTTCAATCTTTTAAGTATTGATACTATGATTACATGTTTCCCCATATTGAGGCTTTGGATGTTAATATCCTTTTTCTCCAACTTGTTGATCTATTGAGTCTTTCTAACTTTGTCAATTTTAATTTTTTTGACAGAGTCAATATTGAAGAAACTTGATTAATTTATATAATCAATATAATAGATCCATATGTCTTTTTTTTTCAAATTTTTCTTAGATTAAATGTAATATTAAAAAAATTAAGGTTTATGGAGAGATTTAAATGATCCTACATGACCATAGAAAAAAAAAATGTGGATAATAATATTCTAAGTGCAACCTCACCAAAATGATCTTATAATGGTTGTAAAAGTCCACTAAAAACTTGGAAAAAGGAATCTACAATCTTATTTTAAAAGAAAGCTTTAAAGAAAAACATCTTGTTCATCCTATCTATTTTAAAAAAAGCAAGAAGGATGGTGATTATTGATTGAGGTATCTAGTGTACTTAAACTATTTGATTAAGAGCCTATATTCCATTTAATTAAGAATTAGTTGAATCTTAATGGATGGTGGTTTCTTATTCGTAATACTTTAACTCATTTTTTTTAGAAGAGAAAACATAACTAATATCATAAGTAAAAGTTGACTCAAGATTAAATAGAAAAGCAGAAAATATACATATAATTGAGTTGAGAGTAAAATCATGTGATTTCTTTCCTATAAAAGTTGAAAAGCTCTTCAAATGCATAAAATTAGTGACTTGAAAAATGAAGAATAAACAAGACATGAAGAAGGAAATGTATGAATTGGAAGAGGTGCTAATATAAAGATACAATCACAAAAGTCTTAAAATTATTGTAAGATAATACCTAATTAGCACGAGAGAAATTAAAAACATTAAAAATATATGCGAAGTTAAGAGAAAGAAAAATAGTAAATGACATTAATATACACTTTTTCACGACAATGCGCACATATAAAAACCAATATTTATTTCTTTGAGAAATGTAAACTTGACTCTATGTATGTATTCAATCAATAACAAATTTTTAATTTCAAAATATATTCAATTTAAAGTAATATTCGACCTCCAGAAAACACTCACTCCCTTAGAGATCTTCTATTCATTTGATCTCACTAATTTTGGACAAACAAATAGGTTAAGTGACTAAGTCTTTAGTAAACAATCTTACCACCTATTGACTCTATTTTACACAATTATATATTAGTAGGCATTTACATTTGATATAAGGTGCCAACTATTTTTCGTTCATTTAGTTGTTTTCCTGTTATTGATTTAAGCATTGCATTCATTCTGCTCTATGCTTGTAATTGTAATCACATTCTCTTGCCCATTTCTTAGAGAAGAGAAGATTCTTGGCATAGAAGAAGAGCATTCTCGCTCAGAGAGTAGACTTAAGCTTTCATGGAAAATTCTTTTATGGTAAGACGACCGAAAGAGGAAAATGGCGTGAATTGAGCCTTGGGAGTGTTGTCCACGTGAGTAAGATCTTAGCGGGCAACAACAAATGAGAGAAATACTTGAAAAAGGTACAGCAATTTCGATGCAGTCGAAAATGGATCTGTTGACAGGCTCAGCAACAAAGACAAAGACAATAATATAAACAATAAAATCTGTCAGATTAGACAGATTCATATTACTTCAATTAATAGAATACTTAAACAAATCACTGAAAATGTTTCCCCCAATCAAGCCTCCAGCTTTTCTCCTTCGTGGATCTTTCGCTTTTATTCACTTGGCCTCTCGCTTTTCTGGGGAAACTTCTTCTACTTTCCAGGGAAATATTCGATATCACATAGCGAATGTTGATGGGAGTTTCTTGTTGAAGATCAGAAAATGGAAGAACTGATAAGGTCGGGGAGGTCGCTTTCGGAGACTCCAACATATGCCGTTGCTACTGTGGTTTCTGTTTTGGTATTTGTTTGTTTTCTGGTTGAGCGCTCTATCTACCGATTTGGAAAGGTAAGGAACCACGGTTATAATGCTGTAAATTTTGTTTGGTTGCTGAGAAAACGTGAGAATCTGAAACTAATTACTATTGCATTTTGTTTCAGCTGCTTTTCTTAGCTTGTCTGATTACTGGTAACTTGGAATTGGAAGGCGCATTATTGTTTATCAAAATCCCCTGTTTTCTTCATGAAACAATATGTCATTCAGAATGCTGTTCTTTTCTCGAGAAAATATGGGAATGATGGAGGAAAAGTGTTTACAATTTTAATTCTGTCTAGACTGTTTGTTTATAAATTAAGTAATTTAATAAATTTATTTGAAAATAATTTTTAATTGTCTGAAACAAATTTATACTTCTAAAATACTTTTTAAAACTTAATTGATTACTGTTTGTGAAATCAATCTTAACATTTTTTCCCAATGTCAAAATTTCATTCAAATTTAAGTTTGAGATGATTTCGTATGTACTTGATTAATTCCATATTAAAATTCATATTTGGAACAATTGAATTCAGCAAAAGGTGTGAGATTCATATCTAAATTTACATGCTAATATAAACCTATAATTCACAAATGACCTCCACACTTTTTTGTCAAATTCCAAACATAGTATATTTCAAAAAGGATTTCTCTGCTTGAAATCTGAACTTTTCATATTTTCCCTTTTGAAAGGATTCAATTGTTCCAAGTAAGATTTTGGTTTTATCCATATGCTTGAAATTCGAGGAGACAATAGGTATAATCTCTCTGTTGGTAAAATGAGAGGAAATTAAGCCTTCAATAAATTTTAGATGCTCTGGAGCCATATAATTTTGTGGGATGAGTACATCGGTTATCGATATTAAAAAGCAAAAGCAATGCAGAAAAGTAAAATGATATGAGATTTATGTGGTTTAGTGGATGTAATCTAAGGGATGGATTTACATTCACTATAGAAGAAATATGAAAACTACGTCTTTCTTTCATGCCAAAATCCTAGTTGCAATAATAAATCCTCTGTTTTGGTTGTTTTTTTCCCCTTAAAGATTTTAAATTGCAAATGCATGCTAAAAGGTTGGAAATTGGAGAACGAGAAATGTATGAATGTTACAGCAGTCTTTGATTGATAAGAATAAGAAAAGAGTAGTAGAAATATGTAATATTGGTATTTGTTGAGTAAGAAAATATGTGGCAATGTAAGTTGAGTTGTTTAGTGTTTTGTAGCTATAATATTATATATTTTAATGTTTAAATATTCAATTTGCTTTTCTTTAATGTGATAGGAGGTAGGAGCAACTGATGATTTTATATTAAATTTGTGAGGAATATTGATTATTGTGTTTGTTGTTTTATAGTGGTTGAAGAAAACTAGAAGGAAGGCTCTCTTTGCTTCTTTGGAGAAGCTTAAGGAAGGTAAGTAGGATTTCATTTACTGCAATATCAGTTTTGTTTTTTGAAAATAAAAATGTATATGTTCAAGAGCCCCAAATCCATATTCAAAGATTTATAAGTTCATTAAAATATCTTTAAGATCCCCAAAGTTCTCATTAGAATAAATCGGATGACCTTAAATCAGAAAGTTCAAAATTTGGAACCAAGAATCCTTAAAGTTAACAAAGTTAGATTTAGCCCCCTCAAAAGCCCTTCTATTCCTTCCTTTCAGATAATCCAAAAAGTAACCAGGGGGATAAGGCCTATCCTCTCATCCCCTTGGATGCCTCTCCAAGCACAAACCTCATCCTTAACAGAACCAGCAACAGCTCAATTCAAACCCTACAAACTATATGCTAGACTCCAATATACTTTGTGTTTGGTTCAAATCTTTTCTATTTTGCCAAGAACATTGAGTTTAGATGATATAATATTTTCATGGTAGAGTTGACGATGCAAGTTTGAGTCAAATTCTCCCACCCCCAATCTAAAAAAAATCTATTGCATTCCATTTAATTTCTAAATCTTAATTCTTTGATATGTAGAAATTAGTTATAACCGGTACTTGACGGATAATTTTGATTTATATCTTCTATTTGATAACCATATATTTTGTATTTTCATTTGTCAAGGAGAAAAATAAAAATAATCTAATTTAAATTGGACATATAATTGACTTAAAATTATAATACTATTTTTATTTATTTATTTATTATATTTATATTACTATTTTTGTTTCATTTTTATGGAGTTGGAATTTGACCTGAACCTAACATAATTGTTTGTGTTTTTGGATATTGTTTCTTCTTATTGAATGAAAATTATGATAAAGGAAATAAGGTTTCTACTTACGGAAATATTCATGTGTTTCTTGATGGTAGAGCTTATGCTGCTT